TATATTCACAAATTATGAATAGTTTGTTCGCAATTTTACAAAAATAGGACCTTTCACAAAATGTCTGGACAGACCCCTGCACTTTTAACTGTGGCTTTTTTATTTTCCTCTGCGACAGAACTTCGAAAAACTATGTTCACGTGTTTTGAGTTAGGTGCTAGCATGATAGGATTTTAGATCGAAAATTTCTGGTGCACAAAAGAAAAAAAATAGGAAACATTTTTCTCGATTTTCCTCCTCATTCATTCCGATTCTGAGTGATTCATTCATTCCTTCTTGGATTCAATTTGGTAACAAGTAAAAAATGTCTGTTCTCGAATTATCTTTTTATTAACAATCTTTCCTTACCTTGTGAGGAATGAATCATCACGTGAATGATCTAAAAAGAACCATAAAAAAATATGTTCGATTATATGTATCACTTTCCCAAACTTATAAAGCGATTTTTTGCCATTTCTTTTCTTTATTAATTGCATCAGAATGATGTAGAGGGGGGGGGCGAAAATAAGAATCTCATGACCAATGACTATCCCTCATTGTTTTCAGGTAACCTCGACTAAATATAGAAACGTGAGTGTGCTTTAGAACAGGTTTTCGAATGAAATAACCGTTGTTTTCTTTGTTTTGTTTCTTTAGAATTTCCTTTTTACCTTCCTTCGCCTCAAGGAAACGTAATTCGCAGATGGTTCTGTTCTTGACGAAACCGCAAACACTGTGTTAGTGGGTGGATTAGCGAATAGAAAGCGATAGTGGTTGTTGACGATCTGTGTCTTAGTTAACAACCCGTCTAATGTAGTTCCGAGAAAGGATTCGCTAATCTGGTTATTATTTTTTGCATTCTTTAGAACCGGATTCTTATTAAGCTTCATATAAGGTCATGTTTAGAAACAACGATTTCTCCGTATGATCATGCCAAAAGAATCACTTGGAAAAGTTGGTAGTTTTTCTAAAGATTGTTGTTCTAAAACTTTTTCGTTATATGAAAATAACACTTATTTAGATTAATATGTTAGAAGTCACGAGCATCGTGCTTAACTGTTAAGTTACGTTTCCTTCCATCTTAAGCCAGCGCCCTCTCAGCTAATTATGAAAATGGCGCAAAGACGAAAGTTTAAGATCTTATTTTCAGTATTATAAAAGTTACTCAATCACTACATTATTTGGGCTTGTAAAATATTAAAACTATTCCTTGAATTTCACCTCGGTAAAAATGATAATGTTCTCTATAACGCTTCCACCAAGGAAAATAAAAAATAAATAAACCACAGTTTCAGTGCTTTAAACTAATTTTAAACTACAAACTATATTACTGAAATGAATCTGTCTAGACGTTAAAACAGGGAAACAGTTCAAATATTTCAAACATATATTTTTTAGTTTTTATTTCGTAAATTTAAAAAGGCGAGTATTTTCCAGCTAGATGAAAATTCATAAAATCGAGTATTAGTTTTAAATTTTTCCAAACTTTTATATGCTCAATTATTTATGTCACAAAGACTTTTATTTTAACAAAACTGTTTCCTTTCTTCATAACGGCATTTTGAGTTGTTTCTGTTATTAAAATATCATATATCTAACTATAAATTGCATTTCATATGACAGAAGAGCATATGAAGAACAGCTTTCGAAAAAATTTTCGTTTGTATGTTCCGTTTTTTTTTTTTTCTTTTCTTTTCCTTTTTAAAAATATATGTATAAAATTAAAGCTTCAATTTAAGCACTCTTTGCTGCGGCCTTCTCATTTTTCTTTACAAAAGAGCTTCCAGGGGAGAAAACCTTCTTTTGCTTACATTAACTTTCTCAGTTTTATTAAACATTTACTTACATTTTATCTTAAGCAAATTACTTGAATATTTCCTTGTTGACTAGATTCACGATTTTATGGGAAATCATTCGAAACAATATGTTCCTCAGGAACTGATGTGTCTTTTTAACGACTAAATAAAATTTAGCAATTTGTTACTGCCATTGGGCAAACAACAGGAACGCACAATAATAATAAATTAATTTCAACTAATAAAATACAATCATTTATTGTCCATCAGAGTTATGTTTTCTTTTAACAGTTATGACTTTTCTCGTTTTTTTATGATTTAATAGCTACATAATGGTGCTTGATACTGAACACAATCTCACGTTAAGAAAGAAATATTTATATACAACCTCTCAAACAATGCGTGATTATATTTTATTAGTCAATTGGTTGTTTTTATATACAAATGCAATACTATTATGTTATTTGAAAAAAAAAATATGGAAGCAAAATTGTTTTCAGTAACATTAATTTCATTAGTAAAAAGAAATAATTTAATATTATCGATTCCTAAGTTTTTATAATGAATCCTTTTGTACATTGATATAGAGATACATACTCTGTTCCTTGATAATACAGATAACGTTGAAATACGTTTTTGAAAATGTAAAATGCTTTTATGTTATTTCCGTGATCGTACAAAAGTTTTTAAAATAGTTATATTTTAGATAGTAACAGGTAGCCTTCTTCAAAAAAAAAATTTCACGTAAAGTTTTTAAAAGATAAGAAATTATAAAAAAGTGTTTTGTTTTTTATGGAGAAATATAATCCGTATGCTCATCTGTATACAAAGTTGGGATTTTTCATTCCTGATAAATAAAAAATTCGTAAAAGAAGGACAAAAAATAAGAAAATATAGATATTTTGTGTTGTTTTTTTAATTAGTTTATTTTTAACTGTAAAGTTTTTATTGAAGATCATAATGCCTTTAATTCAACGCATCCAAATATGCGTAATTACATGAAGTAAATTTTTAAATCATACTCACTCTATTAACGATTTTCGGTGATTGATTAGAATATAAATTTCGATGAGATATTTATGACACTATAAAAAAATTTTATGCATTTGAACACCAAAAATGATGGTAACTACTTTACAACAAAATAGTGTTTCACTACAACAAAAGCCAAGGATAGTTCTTGGTGCACCGTGTAACATAATAGATTGTTCTTTTACACTACTTGGTGTAAAGTAGCCGCCACCATGTTTCTTATGCAATAACACTAAAATTTATAATTACAGTAAGCAGTAAGATATGAATCAGGAAAGTTATTTTTACGAGATAATATAAGGTAAGAACCAGGAATTTAGGTAGCACGCATACACTAATTCTTAAAATAGAATTAGTTTGTAAATCAAACATACGTGTGGCACAGAGAGCAGGAAGAATTTAAACAAAGCTTACACAGCAAAAGCGGATAGAAATTATACACTATAAAATTATTTAATACAGTTTACAGAGACTTAAAAATTGTAATATAAATATCCTTATTACACAACTAAAAATAATGTGAAGGCTCGTGATCATGGTGTAGACTTTTGGCATTTTACTTGTTTAGAGCTTTTTTTTTTTTTTTTCCATTTCTTTTGAAGCACTTCTCAAACTATGGTAAGCATTACAATTACAATAACGTTACTTTTATGTAAAGGAAATGATAGGAATTTGTATTGTAATCCAGTTGAGTGTTGAAATTTTAGTGTTATAGAGCTTATCGGAAAGTGACTGAAATTTCGATTGTCGATCAGCTCTGCTTGTATCGGTCAAGAGTAAAATGGAACTTGAATTGATTTGAAAGTTTTCCTCTCACAAACATAAAAGCGAATTCAGAAAATAACACCACAATCTGAAAAATGTGATCCCAATAGTTAAGTCGAAAAGACTCAAAAAATTTAGCCCTTGATCGTTAATGTCAGTCAATTATTGCGTATTTCAATATGCCTCTGAGATTAATTAAGCTAATCAAAATAGAAAATTTAAACAAAAAATCTCACAAGTCAAAGCTCCAAAAAGTATCTTTTTAAATTTCTGATTCGCATAAACTATTCAACCTATTTCGGTTAGCATTAAATAAATACAATTAGTTAAAACAGTATCCATTGTTCGTATCTTAACTGAAGGTGGTTGTTTTCTAGTTTTAAACCATTTATTTGTATACGTTACATTTATATGTATTATATATATAATTTATTATATGTATTATATGTATTATATATATATATATGTATAATTTACAATAAATATTAATATAGGTATTAAAACTTATATATAAATCAAGATAATAGCTTTAAATGAAGTTGAAATAGAGATTATTAGTAGTGAAATAACAATTGAAGAGCTGAGTAGATAAATAAAGAGTAAGCTTTTCAGAAAATTAGAGTAAATTAGCTTTAAAGTTTATACGGTTTTGTGTGTGAAAGAAAGAAAAAGGTAAACTGTTAACTTTTCCACTATTGACAGCTTGGAGTCGTCTTCTCTGTTACAAAATTTAGTATATTCATCCCATAAGATCTCTGAAACTTAATGATATGACAAAACAAATCAATGTTACTCTGATAAATAAGATTAAAATATGATCTTTTCTGAAAACATTTTTTTAAATTTGTGTCTTCGATCTTTTTTCTTAGTCGACTTTTAGACACCATGACGTTTTTATGTTAAACGTCTAACTTTTTTTCCTTTTGAATATCAGTTTTATTTATTATTTAAGAAAAAAAAATCATCTTCAAATCCAAAAATTACTCTTATTAATTCAAACTCTACCACATAAAGTTTTTTTTTTCCCTACAATTTTTGGGCAACATAAATCTTTTCGTTTTCCCTTTGTATATCTAAATAACAAAGAAAAAACATCAAAAACAATAAAAATTTACCTGGCTTTTATCCAAATAACGCTCTATTTTTAGAATCACAATCGTTTATTCGAAACGCATCTATATTTTTTAAAAAATAATATGCCACATTAGCTCATAAAACATTATTATAGATATTTTATTTGATTTCGCAAGAATCAATTGTTCCTTTTCAACTTAAAAACTGCTTGCCTTTTGTCATATTGCCATTCCACCTGTTAACTTTATGAATTATATTGGTGGCGGTTTTATTCGTCTGCTTTTAGCGTAATAGTGATGTAATTTCATTGCCAAATGATGTACTAGTTTTTTTTTCTTCTTTTTTTTATTACAGGTAAACCACCTGTATTCGGGTGATTCTTTTTGAGCTAAAAGTATTGACAGGAAACGAGCTTCAGATTTTCAACTTATGTTCAAAATAGTAAATAATTATCGTTTGATATTTTTTTCAATGATAAAGTTGAATGCTCTTTCATCGATTTGAAGGCGCCATGCGGTTCTGCTGACAGTCTTATTGCCCAAGCCTTATTTCATTGTTAATAAAATAGTTCATCTTTTAGGTATGTCATAGTTTTTTTTTATTCTTAAAAATTCCTTTTGTTCAGAAAATTATACCGTAGATTTTTATGAAAGCACGGAATTCGATATCGGCTTGATACATATTCTCGAAAGAAATATATCGTCTGCAATTATTCGTCTTCATTTTATTTACACAAATATAATATTAGTTATATTTTCTTGTTCTTGAGATTAAAAGAAAAATTATACTGTGTCCAAAATGTTTTATAAGTTCAACTTATATAAGCTAAATTTAAAATGTTTACAAAGTTAAGATAAATAGCTATTTTTAAACGAAAAGTATGAACTGTATTCTCATCTTATATTCAAAATTAGTATAAAGTTTTGTTTGATATTAACGATAAATTTAAATGCGCTGTCATCGCCCTGAAGACGCCATGCAGTTCTGCTGACAGTCTTATTGCGCAAGCCTTATTTCATTGCTTATATAACAATATTTCATTTTTTAGTTGTGTCATAATTTTTTGTACTCTTAATAATTCCTTTAGTTCAAAATATTTGATTTTTATCTAAGCTAGAATTCGATGTAAACAACATAATACGTTTTCGTCTACATAATAAATGTCATAATAAATCGTCTGCAACTAATGTAATAATCGTCTACAACTAATGTAATGCTTGTAATAATTATTATAGAACTCTATAATTAACTTAAATTATGTAGTTGAGAAGAAAAATAATAATTCCTTTGTTGATCCTGAATTATAACAGAAATGCAATGCATATGATGTTACGCATTTGTAGATAATATTAGTAAAATATCCCCCAATATATTTTGGCGTATTTGAATTTTATAATTTAACGTATTTACTAATATAATGAGCTAAATTAGTTTTTATAAGGCTTTAAAGGTTAGATGACTTAAGGTATTGACAAATTTATGTAAGTAAAAGTAAACGAAAAATTAGTTGTATTATTAGAACTTGTAATTTTAATTGTAACAGACATACGTAATGAAGCTATCTCATAAAGTGTGTATTAAATACACACTTATCAAAGCAATGATGGAAAATTATTTAATATTCTCGTTAGAATTTTTTTTCTTATAATGCTATTTTTCACTATTTTAAAAATTTAAAGATTTTTTGATATTAATGAAATCAATAATAATATTTTATTAAAATTATCTAGTTTAATTTATATTCCTATATTTACTTTAATCTTTAATATACTTTTCGAAATTGTTTTAAGATTTCTAGATGATGTGAATAAAAATAATAAAAATGTTATATTTAATTATTTTAACTTATTTAATTTATATTCGAAATTTTATTTAAGCATAATGAAATAAAAGAAACTAATCATCATATTTAATAATAACATTTACTTATTATCGCTCCGTTTGCCAACCCCCGTGGTTGCTTCTCGTTAATTTTTTCTTTAAAAATCAATGTTTTAACAAAAAAAAACGATATTGTATATATAAAATATGTAATTTTTTGCAAGACAATTTTGTTTTTAATCGTAACGAAATGAATGATTAAGAGGATTTAGAAAATAGTCAATAGTACTTAAAAAAAGATAATTAAACTTAGGAATGCAAAATGTGTGACACAATAAGAGGTAATTTTACTTATTAACAATCTAGCCTATACCATATAATAGTTAAAATTGGAAGCGATTTTGCTAAGTAGGCTTCATATAATATTTTTTCTTTTCTTTTGTTGTTATTTTTGACATTACTTCAAGCGCGAGTTTATAAAATGAAAACCTCCAGAGAAAGAAATAAAATTTCTACAACAATAAATAAATAATCATTATTTAAAGCAAAAAACAAGTAATATTTAAAAAAATAAAAAAAAAATTAAAGTCCTACTTAGGTCAACAAATAAAAATTTTATTTTATTTACAGTTAGAGAAATTTTTTTCTCTTATATAAAACTAAAATTAATTAATTAAATTTAATTAGTGAATTAATATTTGAAAAAACTGTATTAGCATCAAGTGTCCCCCACTACAAGTTTAAAAAAAATGCATTTGAACTTGAATGGATAAATAAAAAGTAATTTATTAACGATTGAAAATTTGAATAAGATATATAAATAAAAATAGAGATAGTGTGAATTAATAGTAGGAATTGAAAAAAGTGGGAAGAAACTTTCAAACAAATTGAAATTTCTTCTTGAAAAACAACTCTTGTGTTAAGTTTATAAACAAATATGACCTTTTCAGCATTGTATTCCTGGGGCCCATAGAGCGGCCCGTATGGTAATTTTTAAGGCTAGTTAAAAGTTAATAAATCTCGAACTAATGGAATGTTAAATTTTTTATGACATTGTACTCCCTGTACATTTTTCTACACATCCTCGTAATTTCAAATCTTATTGTGTTGACGCAGCAAAACAAAACGCAACGTTCAGTTGAACACCAGAATCTGCTGCTTCTGCAATTTTTTTTAATCCCCCCCCACTTTAATTTTCGTGGGTCACTATTGGAAAATCTGTGAGACATGTCTACCTTATAATAGTTTTAATTTATTGATTAAATAATTAATTACGCTATGATTTATAACTAATTGGTTTTATTTTAAAAATGCTTTCTTAGAATATAAATTCATTCTTCATACCACAATAAGAAAAGTGAAATAATAAATCATGTTCGTTTGGTAAATGAATCCCCTTCTTCGGTGAAAGTTCTTCACAGAATACATTTGGTAGTCACGTGCAAACCCATACTGAGCTTTCAAATGTGTCTGACCTGCTTGAGGGATGGAAACAAGTTGTAAAATAAAAGAAAGAAAAATAAATAAAATAACAGCCGTTCATCAAAGATGGCCTTGAACAAACCGTCGGCATGTGCTAGTCAATAAAGTGGAACGATGAAAGGAACTTGGTGAGAGTAAAAAATTCGAACAGCACCTGATTAGTTAAAATTCTCAGACAATTAAAGAAAGAAAACGAAAATATTACCTGGAAAACATCACCCGAAGGCAAATAGTGTAGTGGAAGAGCTTTCGGAGTTATGAAGACGGAGTGCTTACTTTAAAACCTTTCCAATCGTTTAATCGTCTTAATCTTGGAATTAATTTCATTTGGGGTTATGAACCAACAGACGTCATAGGAAACTTAAAATTTCAGGTTATGCAAGCTATAAGCAACAGGTAACTAAGATAAAATTTTCATGATAAAATTGAATAATATTTTCAGAGTTGATGTTTGTAGAAATCTATTGAAATACATCCAAATCCCACTCTTACACCCAAATAAGTATATGTATTACAGCTTAGGCTCGAAAGCTGTTAATGTACACTTCAGCTGATCTGCAAATTATCTGATTTGTTCCATTAAAATGCGTAATCAAGAGTATAAGGCGGAAAGCCTTATACCTAGGCAATGTGCGCATTTACACTTTCTTATCGTTTAAGTTTTAAAGTTTGTTTCTCACATCCTGTCAACTAATTTGTTGATTGATTATTTAGATATCGGAAAGTAAATAAATGGCATATTAATTTTCTTAGTTGTAATAACATTTTAAACCGCTTGATTTTTGGTATTATTATAGCTTTTAAAGTGATAGATTAAAATAAAAGACACATGCGGTTGAGTATTGCGACCGGCAAAATTCGAATTGGCGAAATCTATAAATCCTTAACACTTATGTAAACTGTTCGCGTAATAGTGTTCGCATTTTTCTACATTTTAATTTGCTGCCAAGTTACAATTCTAGCATACAAATTTTCACAAATAGCTTCATTAGTATTAGCATAGCAAATAAAGTATAAGCATTAATAAAACGTAAGCACAGACTTTTTTTATATATCAAATGAGGATAAAATAATTTATACTACGTATTATAAAATTAATGGTCGCCTCCAACCACAGGGCGACTAAATATAACAAATAGCTATTAAAAAATTGTTTGTCAGTCTTTCGAAGAAAATGTACCCCATATGCATTTTATAATTATTATTATTTTTTCAATAAATGTGGAATTTTTTCTTTATTTTAGAAATGAGCCTTGTAATATTTACCATATTCTGAGAAATGCTTCGCAAGAAACGCCTTGCATTATTATTATCAGCAGTTATTTAAATCATTTAAAAATTTTGATAAAGTGGCCACTGTTAAAAATGCTACAACTGGTCACTGTTACGAAATTTCCTAATTTTGGCCTATTCTATATGTATGAACATATGAATATAGCAAAACAAAACGTGAATAAAACACAAATAAAGATTCAGAAATATGAAATAAAGAAAGTGACAAGAAGTATCTTTGTCCATTTCTGTACCTTTATTTGTATATTTTATTCGTGTTGTTCTTCTAAGTTTTATTGTTAACAAATTTTTTAAAGGTTCAGTCAATCATGCTATGCGTAAAATAAAAATGAAGAGTTTAAAACATTTAATTCTAAACGATAAGTAGTCTGCATTTAAAATGTAGTTGTTTTTTAACAGAGTCAGCTATGTTACAAGTTCTTGAAAATTCTAACAAAACTAGGTATCGTAGGTGCATATATGTTCATCTTATAACAAATTATAAGATTACTAATATAAAATAACTAATATATTGTTTAAGACTTAAACAATATTATGCTAAACTTAAACTTTTAGGTTGGTTCCATGATCATACACATGCGGTTTATACATTGTTGGAATGATGTTAATTAATGCTACTTCCTGGCACTGTTGGAGTTGAGTTTTTACAGATTTCGGCAAAGTTTCTGAAAACGACATAATTATTTTTTCGTCGTACCACTGTTTAAAACCCTGTCACGCAACACTGTAGCCATCCATGCTTAAATGCGATGTTAACGATCAAATCAAAATCACTTTAAAATGCTTTTAGTTGCAAAAATCATTACAGGATAGTGTAAGACTAAGGAAGTAATACCTTCATATATGGAGATAGCTTTGCGATGATTTTAAATAAATAAATTTTAAGTTTTGGGACCGAAGGTCTGAACATTAGTTTCCTTTCATCAAAAAACTATTTTTTTTTTTTTAGCTATAGCAAAGGCTTGTGGGGATGGTTTGAAAGTGAAGTAAAAACTAATTATGAAATAGGTTTCTTTTAAAAATTCTGTCTGAGAAGAACAAATGAATAACAATACTTACACGCGCCATTTACACCTGCCATCGACACATGTAGTATTTCTATTTTCCTTTCTTCTTAACTGTATGCTGCAGCTGTTATTTTGAGGGCTTAGCCTCAATTATAATTTAGTCACGTCCTTGATAAAAGAAATGCGGGTAGATTTTTGATTTTTTGCATCATTTGATAAGTGTTTAACGAAACCGTTGTATTCACCACAACGATCTCTTATACTTCTACTCTTGGAAAGAGCCGAAACTTCCTCGACGAGGAGGCATAATTTAATTAACAAGTATATTTTATTAACTTTTTAATGAAATTTAACCACATTATTTCTCAAGAAATCATATTTTTACAAAAGGAACAGAAATACCTCATGATTTTCCTCAACAGGATGGCTCAAACTTCCCAACATCATCCCCCAACCACCTACCCCATTTTTAGGTTCTATCTTTTAACGGCCATGGTAGAAATGCCACGCAATTTTGATCCAGGTCAGACGACGTGAACAGCACCTGGACTGGTATCCCCTTTTTCCAAACTAAGGCAGTATCATTAAAAGTTCACAAATAAACTGAATAAGAACAAAAAATGCAAGCAAATGAAAAAAGTTGTGATGCCCTTATTACGATCACTGGTTACCCATTGGTCAAATGCTTTTTCTTTCTGGATTGACTCCGTTAAGAGCCACAGCATTTCAAATCATGGGTTGCAAAAACTGTCTCAATTGATGTTTGTCGTCGGATTGGTTTTCAAATTCTGCGTATGTTCGTGTTTCAAGACGTCACAAAATACTACTTCAGCATTCATATTTATATTGAAATCACCGTCAAGCCAGTAATTATACGTTAATAATAAAAAGAATATAAAAATACTTTAAATTAAAAAATGTAAATATATTAAAACTGCCTGCTAGTGAAAATAAAAACAGTAGCGGTAGTCATAGCAACGTATGCAATGACGACTCATGCGCACTGTGTTTACTATTACTCTTGAACACAGTTATAAAAAGTGTGTAGGCGCCATCAAGTCCAAACCAAGTCCCATTTTGCCAATGGGTAATAAATACAGAATTAATTACGCTATTAAATTTAAAAAAAGCATCTTTTTTTCTGTTTTGGAAATTTTTTACTTACAAGTAATTTTTTTTTTGGTAAGCAGCTCAAGTTTTATTTAATGTGTCAAGGTAGAACAATCAAGTTATAAAGGATGAATAATATATATATACCTAATTCATTGTTATTTATCATATCTTATTGATTCAGAACTAAGAACCCGTACTAATATTATGGAAAAATTAAATTTCAGTTTGAATTTTTTTCTCAACTGCACCCTTCTTCATAACGCTAAAAGAACTAATCTCGGTCAAAATATCGTATACTGTCCAAAAAGCTTCCTTGCTCACTTGTTACACTACTATCCAGCTAACGCGAGAACTCCTCTCTTTTCTATTTTAATTTATTTTATAACCGTCGTTGAACAGCCGACCCAAATTTCAGTTTACGACTATCGATGTTCAACTCCGTGGCCTTTTAATTTTGAACCCAATCCTGAAAAGTCAAGAGTAGTTACTTATCTTTGTAACCACGATAACCGCCAAAATCTCGTATTCTTTAAATATACTTATTTATAGAATATTCATTATTTTACTGTTTTGTTTAATTTTTCTCCTCGATCATAATGTTTGTGTTTCCTGTATGTTTAAAGGAGAGTATAAATAAATGGTTGTAATTTTTTTCTTTTTAAAATTCGTTGCAGATTCCTTATTTGGACGAGACTGGAGGAATTCTTGATAACTATTCCAGCGAATGAAGACTTGCAATGTGGGCAGTGCGCCCGGCCTATCATGACAATGATGCCCCCATGGATTTGCGTAAAAAAGTGGTGCTGGAAAGAAATATAGAAGAATCTCGCAATTCTTCATCAGTATTATTAGCTAAGAACACCACACATCAGTACAAAAAGAATTGGCACCAACCGCCTATACTACCTGTTGCCAGTTTATATCCTTTTGTTTCCGAAAGGTATGGCGGACAATGTTCCATAGTCAGTCCTGATGAAAACAGAGTTCATGATATCAGGCATGGCAGCAGGGGGAGTCTGGAGACAGCTATCAGGAAACTTCATCATAACAGGCAGTTAAAACGAGTCTATGAAAGCCCAAGGACAAAAAGAAGCAGGTCTGTGTTAATCATTTAAAGATAGCTCTTTCTATAGGTGTATAAAGTAGAATTAAATTTAAGACGACCCACTAGACTTGATTAAACTAATACAAAATAGTGGTCAATTCTGGGGTGAGATTATCCTCTAATCTATATTTAAAACACGCGAATAAAGTTTATAACAACCCCCGTGGCAAAATCGGAGCGACACGGCGACATTGTCGCAGAACGTTACAGAGTTCTTGCAGAAAAATGTTTCTTTTAAAAAGTAAAAAAAAAAATACTTTTCTTTTCTACAGAAATTGACATGTAATATTTTAATCATGCATTTAGAATTTGGATTATCTCTTTTTGACGCGCTCAATTTAAGCCAATGGTATCGTAAATCGATACAATGTTTAGATTGTATTTTCGGCGGTTATTGATATTGATTTTCAGGTGACTTTTAAATATCCCGATATATTTCAAACAAAATGGAAAATTTGAATCGTGCATTTGAGTATTTACTTTTTAAGGCAATAATTCTATCGAATTTTTGGCAGTTATTGCTATTGATTTCTCCATAGTTTTTAAATCCGATATTTTTTAGACGATATTATTTATTACAACAACCTAATCTCGAAACACACATTTGAGGAGTCAGATTCATATGATTTCGTCTTCGATCTCTTATCTGCAATTTTCTACGGATTTCATGATTATTTACAAAATGCGAGGAAAAAAATAATAAATCCCCTCTCCTCAACAAAATGGGGTAATTTCACCGTAATATTAGAAAAAAAATTATTACATGTTCAATTAAGAAAAAAAAATTTTTTTTGTAAACACAGCGTTTTTGTCATTTTAAATTAGTAACATATCTGTTTGTTATTATTATAAGTATCTTGCAGAAAGATATTAGTGCTAGAGAGTTTTGTCGCAGATAGCTCGAAAAACTAATGCTACAGGGAACAAGCCTACATTTAAAAGAAATGAAAACCCAGTAAATGAAATGTAAATGATTTTCCCCCAAAGCTGTTGCTGTTTTAAGTGTTCTTCTCAGCACTTCTCTACCCTGTTTTTGTTACGATTTTTTGCTCCCATGAAAGATTGATTTTGACTTCGTCAAAAATAATTAAATTATTTTAAAATTAATTAATTACATTTTAGAATTAATATCTATCCAAATAGTTTATATATATTCCTAACTAGAAAACAGATGTCGATTCTAAATTTAGTTGATGTTTAATCCTTTATTTGATATTTTATTTATTTAATACTTAAATTTCATTTCTTATGAATCTATGTGAAAATAACTTGTTTGAGTCATGTTTAGTAGAGAATAAATCTATGCCGATATAAGTTTATGATACTATTCTATTATTAATTAAAAGTAGGATACTGTTCTAGTTATTAATAAATTAATTTTTCAGATCGGCTGATGCAACATCTGATAATGGCAAAAGTGCCCTGAACATCAAACGCCCTCCACGTTCATCTAGCTGCCCCAATTTCACAATCATCAAGCCAGCACCTGTCAAATCTCGATCACCTATCAAACCTAAATCTTACTTCATACAACGATCTTCAGGACATTTATTTGATTCGGATTCGAACTCTAATTCGATAGCCAACAGCTATCATCGGACGTATGAAAGTTATCGCGCTAACTCCCCTGTCACAGGAGGTGCCAAGAAAAGAAAATCATTTGTTCCTGTTTATGGTGACCGCTGTGTTTCTCCAAAAAGAATATACGACGATCCAGTATCCCCACCCAGGAGATTTTATGACGATAGGACGTCATCACCAAGAGAATCCTACTTGGATCGCCCATTATCTCCGAAAAGAAGAGCAATTTCGCCAGACCCACCACCTGAAGAATACTATCCCCATTCCGAAGTACTTCTGAGAAGGCAGCTACAGCAACATACTCCACCAGCTTATCTAGTACATGTGTACGACTATTATCAACAGTTAGTACAGAGATTACGAGAGCAACATTCTCCTGGTGTTCGCTTGCCTCCTCCTATGTCGCCAAGCTCAGTTGAAGATGACATGCAACCAGATTCTCAGAGAAAAAGACCTTGTCGAGCTCTGACTGGAAAACATGTCCGGCAAGGTACAGGTGCCAGTTTAACTACACTTTTGACCCTAAGGCAAAAAATACAGGAAAGGCAGAAGGCCAAGGAACACGAACCTCACAATGGTTTTAATGGGAGCAGCAATAAAACTATGCTACAAAAAAAGAATAAACCCCAAAAAATTAAGCCTGTCATGAAAAATATGTTAAGTCGAGTTCAGCATTGTTGAGTACATTTTTATACCGATTTTTGGCTAGAAAATATTTCTTGAAATCTTTATTGCAAAAGTTGGAAACATGAAAATAGTGCTTAGTGTTGACATGAAATTTGTATATCTCTATTATTTCCTTCCATAGCTTAAAATGGAATAATTTTTGCCTAAAAAAAGAACAAGCTTTTAGGATACATAAAAGAATTTTAGTAACAGTGAAACCCGTGTTTGTTGAACCACTAGTGGATCAACTTATAATAAAAGGGGAATTTGTTATTCCCAATTTGGTATTTGATTAAGATCAACTTAGGTAATCGTTTTTCTGAAGGTCAACTTAACAGATTTCACTGAATATAAATAATAAATTTAATAAAAATATGTCTTTAAAATTGTTCAAGTGAATTAAATTCTCTTTTTTAATTTAGTAAACTTGTATGCAAAATTATATTAATTTATTTTATAAAAAAAATTGACAATTGTCTTAAAGATTGTACTTCTATTTGTGGATTTAAAAACACATATTTCGATTTAACTAATTTACCTGTGTCTATTCTTTTGTCAAAATGTTACAGTGCATGATCAAGGAGTGAGCCTTTGATTTTTTTCTTTTCGATGTAAACTTTTACTTCATTCCTTGTAACTGGAAAGACGTTTAACTGGTACTATTACATTGCGAATGCTGTTTGTTCATCTTTGAAGGAAAAAATCTTGATTCTTAACCCGGAATGGAAAGTAGACTCTTTTTAATGTTAAAAAAGATTGAGGCTAATATTTATGCTTTGGCTATTAGGTTGGTTAATAGTGCTACGTCACAAAATGAAAAAAAAAACATGCATCGTTGTCTATTGCAATAGCTAGAAATTTAATGTTACAGCTATTTATGAAACACATTATTTACAATTCTCACAACTTATTATTTCATCAATTACATCAAAATTTTAAATCATTAAATTTTTTTGTTTATTTTTATAAAATATAAAACTTGCTTCTCAACACTAATGCTATGTGGTTGGTATTTTAAGCATCCTCTTTTTTCGTTACTAAAAAATTAATATTTATTTTTTTAGCAATAGTAATAGGAAGAATGTGGAATCCAATCAAAACTTCACATGAACCAAATATTAATCTTCTATGAATGAGTGTTAATTGTAGAGCTCAGTATGCAATGTAAAATTTTGTTTCAAAATTAGACCAGGAAATCATGCTTGTTTACTGGTATTTTGGCTGTCCACTATTTTTATATATATATTTCTAGCGAAAGTAAAATCATAAAAATGATCAAAATTACCTGTAAGTATTTTCGTATAATCCCTTCCTTTACAAAATGGAAAATGATTAACCGATTCATTACAAATATCATAATATCTACGTAACAATAAAACACATCATGAATATTAGAAGCCGTCAAGATACACTTCATTTCAATAAAGCTTAGTTGTATTTTTATACAATTATAATTTTACTTGTTGCACTGCACTATCTTCAATGTCAAGTTTAAAATCTTTCGTTCCCATTTTAAAATTATATTAACAATATATTTTTAATTTTCAAACTGAGTTTCTAATCCAATGACCATTAATAAAATTTTTATTTACATAAATATTTTTCAAACTTAGCCAATATCTAATATATTTTTTAAATTGAATATATATAAATTTGTACAAGAGGCATTTGGTGTTAGGCTACCACCTGATTTTGTAAAGCTTGATATTTTTGTATTGAATAGAACTATATTTTATTTCATAACCATTTTAAAAGTGCCTCAATTTTATAAGCCAGGTGCACTAAGCCATTCCATTATGTTGAGAAAGAGAAAAGTGAGATTTACAAACTTTCTCTTAGAGATTAGTATGAAGCTAAAATCAAAAAACAATGTGTTTGGTTAATAAAAATTTCCGACCAATTTTTGCTTTTGTAGAATACATGGTGAAAGGATACTTGTATATTTTCTATACTATAATGTGCATTTTATATGTTTGTATATAAAACTGTCTTCCTATTGTATTGCTTTTTGTACTGTGACATTTTCAGACGTATTTATTTTTTAAAGGAAGAACAAATATTTTCATAAGTATTTATTGTATTGACCATTTTATAGCTTCAAAATTGCCAGAATAGTATATCAACTTTTTTTTCATTTAAAAGTTCGTTATTTTATGGCACTGCTTACTGGGACAGCTATGAATTAATGTTTTCAAAATAATAACCATCAATAAACTGATGATCTTGTAAATCAGTTGAAATGGCCTTAACATACAGCAGAAAAAATTATTTTATAGTTATTAGCACTATCTGTTTACAAACTAATAATGCTATAACAAATTTTAAAATTTGTTGAAAAGCCTGGTTTTCAAAGTAAAAAACCATGCGTTTTTATGCATGCTTCTTTCATTTTTTAAATCATCTTTAAGATATGTAACATATTTCATACAAATACCTGTATAATTAAAGAGTACACAGAGTATAATTAAACTTGAAAAGGTTGATATTCGTAAAAATGAAGTAACTTTAAGCTTAAGCTAGCAATACTTTTAAAATGTTTCAAGGCAACTGAAAATATAAAATGGTCATTTTAATTTATAGTATTCATGTTGAGATTTTACCTCATGCACTTTAAAGCATCATTCCAGCATCGAAGCTATTTATATCACTGCATTTAAAAAAAAATGTAACATTTCTGCTTGTTGGCAAATTAAATCTTACTGTCTTTTATCTATTTTTGATTTTATGTGATACTCTATTTATTTTGTACATAAATAACACACTAAATTTAATTAGATTCTGACAAAATAGTAAAAACAAATTTTTTTTGATAATAAATAATCATATTTTAATTTATTGAACTATATTTAAGACAATAACAAAATTGCAATCGCTCAAAAAAAAGCTAGAGGTATTAAAAAATATTTAAAACTGAAATTGCTTTATGAAACTTACTTAAACTAAGCTAATATTTTATGAAGCACTTAAAACTTCATAGAGAGCTTGAACATACAAAAAAAAAAAGATGTTAAAATTATTTAATTATTGTTAGACACATGTTTCTTATAGATTTATTGCAAAAGAGCTTAAATGCATTAAAGTTAAGCCCACGTTTGTATGCAACAGCAGAACAGTGTTAAGAATTTAAATTTTTTATACATAAAATATTTAATTTGAAGTAAATTTTAATTTTAAAATCTTAAGTTTTTTAAAATAATAATAGATTATTTATCTACATTAAAATGATCTATCTAAAACTTGTTGTATTTCTTTTTTATTTAAATTATTTTTTTTTGATAAACATGAAAGTATTTAAAAAAATATTTGCTTATAAAATTTTAGAAGCTAAAAACTATAAACAGCTATTATAGTAAATGATGTAGTAAAATAAATTTATTGTTTCAATACAATTAAGTTAATTTAAGTTATAATGAAAAAAACTGCTTAAATATTTTTTTTTGTCAACTTAAAGTTATAAATGTTAAACTTATTCATTTAGATTATTTAGTTCAGTCATAAAATTAGTTTATGTAAGTTTTTCTAATCATTAATCTAAAAATAAATATAACTTGATCATAGATTATGTCTATAACATTACAAAATTTTCTTTATTTTTTATAATGTTTTCTTTTGGTTGTAAAACCTTTTTTAGAATCTTAGAAAGATAACCCTTAGGTACTCTTAAGAGATTGTAACTTAGGTTGTATTTTTTTAATGTAAAAAGTTATTAGTCTAATGTAAAAACCTAATTAACTGAAATGGATTAGTCATATGTAAACACACATTTTTATTTAGCACTAAGCATATTAATTTTTTAGCAATTACATAATCAGTATTTATTATTTAATTTTCATTTGAAAAAAAAAGGAGGAAGAATAAGTAATGTAACAGATTCTAAAAATATTTTAATAAATAAACAATATAGAAGTTTCTATTGATAACACTTCTAGAGCTTAAAACATTATGGCTAAAGTGCAAAAATAAAATATTTACAAATAAATAATTTCATCAAAGATACAAACTAAAGTATAATACATAACAATGTAATTTATCAAGAATTTCTTTGAAATAAAAATATTTCACACCAGATGACCTATGTCATAGAATCCCTCAACCTAAAATAAAATATGAATGTTAAATAACAAACACACTTTCAATTTGATATTAATCTTAAAACTGTGTGAGAAAAGTACATTGAAGCAACAAGAATTACTAAAGCCAACCATAAAAATAAATAAACCTAGAAACTATTAAGAATTTGATTATAATCTAAACTAAATACTATAAATTAATTAAATGAAGACTTTAATCAGATAATTTCTGGTATTACTAATTAATAATAAAAAAAAGATACTAACTTTGTGCTAAAACCTCACATTAAACAATTTTCCAAACACAGGTGGTAATATCATGCCTGATAATAACTACATAACCTTTTAGCAAGCCATTCTCTCCAGTTTTGTTGAATAAAGAGATATATAAAACATAAAGCAATTTTTTCAAGACTGAAAAGAGAAAAGGGCAAACTAAAAACATAAAGCAAAACATGCCAGCATATGAAAGAAAAATAATATAAATAACAAATTGCAAATAAAAATAACATGCATTTTTAAATATTTTTCTAGATTATGTAATAATTTTCAAAATATGAAAAATAGCAAACTAAAAACAGGCGAACATAATAAAAAAAGAACAAATATATAAGCAAAAAATTTTTTTCAAGCTATTTAGGCAAAAGATGTTAAGGCAAACATGAGGCAGAATGACTAATTTTAAAAATTCAATTGTTAATCTCTTTTTTTCTGGTCTCTCACTGTGTTAGATAGTTTTATGTAAAAATATTGTTAACAGCAAATAGTATTTTTCAAGACAATAATAAATTGTAAAAAGTTCTACACCAAACATAAATTGTTCAATGGGGATTTTAAATATTCTGTGATGCATGCTGCAGTTTTGAACACTTTTTGCTCCATAGTAATGTACAATGGAAAATCTACATAAGACTAGCTTTATTTATGTAACAATCCGCTATATTTACATAACTTTTATAATTCATATTACTGCCTTAATATATATTTATAAAATCAAAAGTATATTTAAGCAATATGTTTGCAAGTTAAAGTGTACAAAATTGTAAATAACAAAATACAAAACTTATCAACTAACTTCGCCACATTAGGTTGCATAACGGCTGTCTGTAGTTTTGAAATCTTAAACATTTTTTATATTAGAAGTTTCAACTATTTTATTATTGATTGATATATTATATTTAACATTTATTAAATTCCTAATTTAACCACATTTATGGATAGAAAGTTTATGGATATAAGAATAAATTTATTATGATATGTAAAAATAATGCATAGTTTTTTATTATGGAAATATTTACTTCAAATCTGCCAACGTCACAACCTGTTGCTTGTTTATCTTTCATTACATCAGATATTGCAAGTATGTATTTAGTCCTTGGGCTTTCCATACTGTCATTTTTATTCTAAAAACAACAAAATTTAGTTAATTAGCTTACTTACAAATTAGCTTATTGAAAAAAAAATTTAATATTTAGGATTTGTTTTAAATTGAATTTTAATAAAAATTACAATAGTCAAAATAAATAATGAAATTTATGTTTTATATAAGCAAAAGTAACACATTAAACTTAAATTTATAGTTATTGTAATTTATAAGTGAGAAAATTATGCAAAATAAATACAATTATTTTAAACTATTTTAAATTAGATCATTATAAAGCATTTATTGCTAATTTCAATTTAGTATAGTTATTTTAAGTTTATATAAATAAAAAAACATAAATAACAGGTTCCATCTACTAAAATAAATATTTTTCTATAATAAAGCACCATCAAAATTTCATATTCTGACTTAGTACTATTTTTCGTTAAAAAAGAAGGCAGACAATTTTAATTTATGCTAAATTTATACATTAAAAAAATAAGAAAACTTTAGAAATAAGCATTATTTTAGTCTCCCTCCCCTCTCTACAATATCCTACAAAATACATTATTTTAACATCAAGTAAAAACTTCTCAATACTAGCACCGTACAATTATAAAATTCAGTTTGTAATGCTGAGTTATTCACCTACAAAGCAGCTACAATGAGCAGAATGCTATGAAATAAAATAGAATTATACTTTAAAGTAAACAATAATATTCAGTTGATTTTTTAACTATAGAATGCACATGATTTTATTTAACTGCAATCTGAAAAATAATTTAGGAAGAAGATTTTTCGCACTCATAACTGTCTGAACAGTATTAATTTCAAACAAACCTAAAAAGGACAATTCTTAAATCAACTATATGAAACATTAGCCATTATGAAGAAGGATATTAAAATTGAAACGGACTCTTACTTGAATCAGGAGAAACTTGTTCAATTAAATATCTCTTTTATACATAGCTCAAATGACAACCTTTTTTGCCTGGAAATCGCACTTAATTTACTAACTGCAAGAGTTCTCTGTAAAATTTATCCGTTTTTATTCACTTATTTTAGCTGTCACAATTATGTTATTTTCGGTAACAGAATGATTGAAACAATGAAAAGCAAAATGTTTTCTTCAAAATAAGGTCATGGAATAAAAAAACAATAATTTACATTCTTTGGCAAGTTATTTGAAGAAGAAAATAAATACAAAAAACTTACAATTTCTGTGGTGCTATTTTTACATTCTGATCTTCTAGAACCAGCAGACAGAGGATATGATACTACAGTTTGCTTTGAATCCTAAATTTAAATTGCAAATTAAGAAATTACACAAAATATTATTCCTTACATGCATAAATGCGAACATTTCAGACACATGCATAGATATAAAAGTATTTGTTAAATCAATCTAAGCATGTGTCAGCTATATACATAGATACTTAAAAATAATATTTCAAATTAGAGCACACCTGTAAATAATAACATTAAAATAGCAATTTTCCATTGTAAGGCATTAAATAAAAATAGTTTAGCTTAAATATTTAAATAGCATTTAGGATTTAAAACATAATAAAAAAATCTTTATAAAATACATAAATAAATTAGAAAGCAAAATAAAATTATTTTTGAAATCATAAAAGCAATTTCTAATATTACATTCAAAAGTTTAACCTGTCGAAAGTGTAAACCATCAAAATGAAATAAATTAAAATTTTTATATGAGGTCGCATTAATTATTCTAATATTCAAACAGAATATAGAGTGAATGCTTGAACTTAAAAATTAGCAAAACTTTTATAAAATTAAACTTTATTTTGCTCTTAAACTTTTCAAACCCTTTTGTTATAAAAATGAATATAATTACATATGTATAAGACACACAAAGTATAAAAAAGTTAATTAATGCATTTTAAATAATGTGTCACACTACGCAGCAGTGATTTACTTCTGTCAGTTCATGCACGGATCCTAAACTCAATATTATTGTCTATATTATTGAAAATTAAAAACATGAATAAGCAAATTATCATTTAATAGTTACCATGCCACATTACTTAAAAATACATTTTAATTTCAATAGAATTATTCTCTTGTAACTTAAAATGATATTCAGAAAACAATTGAACATCACTGATATTATGAATATTTGTTTTTATTGCATTTCATGCACAGCTAAAGTAAATATGGTTGCAACATAAATGTTTCTTAGAGCTAAATAATTGGATTATAACAATTATGAATAAACAAATTATTATTTATAGTTATACCTCATTGCTAAAAAATACATTTTAATTTCAATATCCTCTTGTAACTTAACATGATGTTTAGAAAACAATTGATCACTGATATTATTAATTAATGTTTTTACTGCATTTCATGCATAGCTAAGGTAAATATGGTTGCTACATAAATATTTCTTAGAATTAAATATTTCGTTTATAACATTCGCCAACTATGAATACTTATACACTTACCAGAACTGGCAGTCTACCGACTTCATTTGATTAAAAATGTTACTTGCAAAACATTAAAAGTATAGATAGCCAAATAGTTATACAGTCAACCCCGCTTAAAGGAATACCATCGATTCCAGCCTTTTACTTTTTAATGGTATTTAATGCATAGTATAGCGCTTTGATTAAATAAACTCAGTTTTATGAACAATTATAATTAAAACTGTCTGTGTTAGTATCATAAAATACAAATGTCACTTTAAGTTACATGAAAATAAATCATTGTTAGTGAAAAGTATAATATAAGTACTAAAATATTATTTGATCCTTTCCGAAAAAGTCTATAAAAGACTGTTTTTATACCCGTATAATTCGTCAATTTATCAGAATAAAATTTTCCATTTTAGTTCCTACTAAGATTTTCACGACTTGCATATTCATTTCAAATACAATCAGAATTTTTTTAAAATTTACTTATTCATTTTTTTCTAATCTTTGAAACTTGAGAAATTCCAAATTAATGTGCTATTTTAGTTTGGGATTTTTTGTTTCCAAGATTCATTGCTTTTTTTTCTCGATTAATTCACATCATTCCTTCTTGTGCTCAGCTTGCAACCAACTCAGAAATATTCACTGGATAAAACAATGCTTATTTTACTTAAGAGAAAGACATATTGTACACTGCGTTAGGTTTTTGAAACTTTTTCTTATCAAAGCTAATAGCACAACAGGAGGGGACCAAAAGTCTTGCCCACAAAACACTTGGTACCTTTTTTTACATTCTAAATTATGTGTGTGTGTGATGTAAATCAAAGAGGGGTAAAAACCCCTTCGTTTACTTCAATGTATAAATACCAGCAAGATTTAACAAATTTTTCCTAACACCTATTTAGATCAACTAATGAACATACCACCTATTATATCTTTATCTTAACTGAAAAACAGAAATTCCATTTTAACATGTCTCAAAAATAGACAATTTTTTTTCATTACAGTACCACTTCTTTATGCAATTAGGCAGAGATAAGAAACTACAAATATCCTTTAAACGGGGAAGTTTAACATTGGTTTCATATAAAATGATTTGATTCCATTAAATTTTATTCATATAAGCGGGTTATTCGATTATCCGATATGCGATATAGTGGGGACGACTGTACTATGAAACATCATTTCAGTGTTGAAGATTGAAAGCAAATGATGAGATGGTTTCGATTATTTTAATTTGTTTCTTTTGTTTTTTTCTCACAGAAAAGATTTTACCAAAGTATTCAAGGGCTAAATAATTTGAGACACAAACCTCTCATTCTTAATATAAAAATAAAAGTCATTGAAACAGAATTTTTAGAGTGTAATTGCTTTGATATTTAAAATTAATAATAGGATATGTTTAATGAAATAAAACCTATAAAAGTATACAATACATTTTACTTAAGATATATGAAATTCTGAAATAATCACGTTAGAAAAATATGTTATCAAATTTTTGTGAACTATCTGAAGTAATTTTTTTTTTTTGTCAAATATCTTTTATAACTCTTCTTAAAAAATACACCATTTAAGATACACTTTTCATTTAAACTTTAATTAGTTAAAATAAAATGAAAATACAATGTCAGCAAAAGACTTGGGATTTGGACATGATGTTAAAAACCATGGTAAAAACTTGCAAGGTAAACATAGAAAAAGCTCATCAAAAACTTGACAACCCTGTCTTGAACATTTCAAATATATAATAATTTGAAAAAATTGAATAACTTAACTTAGCAATATTGGTTTAAAAAATAAAATTTACATAATAGAACCATCACCTTTGTAAGTTCTCCAAAGAATGTTAATTCTTCGATTCCAAATCTTTTCCATCTATATGAAGGCTGTTTCAAAATAATTCTTAAGTTCACCACACTATTTAAAGTCACACCACTCTAAAATAAAACATAAAGGAGGAAAGATTTTATAACATTTTCACACTCTACATACACAAATACACTTATAATATATAAAAATTTCTAAAACAGCTTCATAATAAAACAAAAGGTCAAAAAGAAGAGGATATACTTTGTACTACATAGAATAAAACAAAAATAATGTGAATAAAGCACAAAATAAAATACAAAAATGGACATATTATAGTCTCTGAACAAGAACTTTCCTCAATGTTTAAACTCTAAACGATAATGAAATTCAGCATATAATTTTTTTCAAAACACAACCCTTCTCTGCTGGTGCATATCATACCATACATATATTTTTCCTCAGTGTTTAAACATTTGGTGTTTAACACTAAAAAAACCCAGCTGTATTTATGGCAAAACACTAACATAAAACTCTTAACATCATGTCCAATATTCTCTTTATTTTATTTTTAAGTTATTCTACAATTAATGACCAAGAAAATAGCCAAATTATTCAGTACTAAACACATTACATTTGATCAATAATAATCCAGGGATTTAAAAATATTTTTTATGAAATAAAAATTTAGCATGTTTCATGATTTACACATCAGATATCACAAAATGATACATACCCCTAATTAGTGAAATGAATTGAAGAAAAAAATATAACGTTAATTTTTAATTAACACAGTGTGGGTAGCAAATAGTTGGCAGCATAACTTTTTCAAACAAAAATATATAAACAGTTTAAACTTTTTTTTAAAAAAAAATAAATAATTTTATAGTAAAAACTATTATTAAAATAATGTGAAAATCGGCTGTCAAGGGAAAATTTCACTTTTAATATAGGCTATTTTCAGCCAATTTATAAACTTATTTTATAATATTTTAGATACATTATTCTGGAATATATTTTAAATTAAGTTAACAGTTCAGAAAAAATCACCCAAATCTTATACATATGGCATAATACAAGCCTATTGTTGCCAACTTGTATGGTCCATGAAATTTATTTTCTTCATATAAGTATTCCTACAACAGTTGTGGGAACATGGAGGTTAAGCACCATAACTTCAAGCCAAAAGCAATGTGGTTAGGATTTGGCACAAGTCGGTTTTATTTCCCGGACAAGTTGACACCCATATAAAAAGCAACATTTATACATAAAATTTTAAAAATGAAATCTGACATTTTTTTCTGGTCACATGACAAACTAATAATTCAAGTATATATATGTAATATAAATTAGTTAGACAATTATGCATTCAAGCGTTGGCAAGATAGCTTAACATTTAGAAAAGTCTTAATACTTTATGTGTTGTTATAATACCACTTAGTAAAATGTTTTTCAACAACAGTACAATTTGGCAGCTGTGCAAGTGATGCAGTTTAGAATGAATTAGTTTTAAATCCTACTATAATTTTGAGCTAGGAATGATACTTGAAAAACACTGAAATAATAAAATTTAAAATTGCTACGGTTAAATATGATTAGAGAATTCACTTTAAAAATTTGGAAAAAAAACAAACAAACTAAGTTTGTGATAATTGCAAAACAAAAAACTATAAAAAGATACTTAAGGGAAATGAGATTTGATGTTCGGAATACAGTTTATGCTTATCATTAGTAACACTTATAAATAATAATAAAAATAAATAAAACTTCAGTCCTATTATAAATGTATTTTATTTAAATGAATGATTATTTTTAGTGTAAAAAGAAATTTCCTTTCTGTTCTCTTTCCCTTCCTGTTTTTCCTTTAGTTATTCAACAAGAATTGAGAAATTTTTGCATAAACTTACTCAAAATAATATGCTTGACCAGTTAAAAAGCAAAAATATTCTAAGTGATAAAAATAATGAAATCAATTTGAAATAAATAAGTAAAACTTACATCTTTAGCAGAGATTGAAAAAATATCTTGTGAGCTTCTCTCACTTTCAGGTTCTTGCATTAAAATAAAACGACGAATAGATGCCTGCCAAGGAAGGATGTCTCTATCTAAGATAAAATAAATATTTTTTAAAATTACAGATGTGAGTGACAACTGCTGTTAACTAAACATTATGCTGCTTAAATTCCTTATTATGGTAAATTTGCTGTTTAACTTTACGACAAATTTTAACATCTATATTATTACAATTTATAAAATGCTGAACTGAGGACAACATCTGTGTAAAATGCTTAAAAAATTCATTTTTATATAGTTTGCATAAATGAAATATTGCTCCTATTAGACTATATTATAATATTTAACAGTATGAAATTACTCATTTTGCATAATTATAATTTTTGCATAATTTATCTTGATAGGCTTGATATTGTAATTTTCTAAAGTAATATTTAAGCTCAAGAAAAATATAGAAAACTTTGTCTTAATGCCTATTACTATGTGTGACATACTAGGGTCGTCATATTACTGACTGCAAGTTAACCATAAATATTTTATCTTTCGAGAAGACAAGTAATACATTCATTAATATTGATGTACAAGCGTTAAATAGTATTAGCTTAGCTTTATAATACATGCTGTAAAACAATTTACAATATTGATTTAATCAATTCCTTCAAATCATTAGTTTTCTTTGAACAAAGCATTCATGCTAGCAGCATTATCCCTTGCTAAACTTAATCAAAATTATATTTCAAACATAGAAATATGCAACACTCCGAGGAGTAGATGAAAGTAAGATAATTTACCATGATTAAAACACACACTAGATTTGATTCAAACAAAGAAAGTATAGCAGTTAATTTTCATGATTCTCTAGAGCAAAAAATATATTTGAAAAATAAAATACGGTTGAACAAAATGAACTTTGAAATAATGAGACAAAATATTAAATAATTACTTACATTCAGATTTATAACAACTTGATTAATATATGACAATCTCACCTGTCGTAATAATTTACCATCATGGGATCAAAGAGATAAAACATAATCAATTACTTAAATTGATGCATTAATATCATCAGTGTTAATCAGGTGATTAACACTCAGAATTATTATGCATATACTTAAACTTGTTGATTCATCATTTCTCTCACAATATACACAGATTCTTCCAAACATATCTGCTACCAAACATTGTAACCACACACTTAACAATCGAAGGAGAATGAAACTCGCCCTCCTACGCCGTAGAGGGTCAGCCAACGAATGCCCAAATCCCAATGTCAAACCCTGTTGCCATTCATGGGTAAAAAAGGAAAGCTCTTAATACAGTGTATTCAGCGCAAGCAGTATTCCCCTCTCTCCCGGTATGTAGAGAATGGGTATAATGTAGGAGTGCATTGGTGCATCTTCTCTTTGACACAATAATTTAAAGTTTATTAATATATTAATTATGTCTGGTAGGTGTTTATAATTGTAAAGAGCTTGTTGTAATGTTAAACATCTATTTTAAAATTTTTAATTTTTTCATCTGTAGTTATGCGATCGTCTTAATAAAATAGTACATATACATAGTAAAATAAATACATACACATATTCCTTTTCACTCCAAATTGTAGGTAGTAGGACAAATTTAACATTATTAGTATTGAAAATTCTAATTTTTGGTGAATTTGTTATGCTTTTGTTTTTCTAGAAGTTATTAAGAATAGCGTAACTGTATTGGGCTCTGCTTATTCTACTCAGTATATCTTCATCAGTTCCTCCTTCGTTGTTAATTATACTTACAAGATAGGTAAAACTGCTTACCTCCTCTTGTTCATTATTTCCTATTATGTGTTAGTTAAATATGCTAGTTAATTGAACAGGATTCATTTACAGCACTGGCGTCGGAACCATAGGGGTCCGAGGGGTCCGGACCCCCCCCCAATAATTGGGAAGCCAGGGTTCATTATTTTGAGAAAATATTTCCGTTTTGTTTCCATAACTTTTAATTTCTCTCTCTCTTATTTTTACAAAGCGCAACTTATTATATTATATAATTAAAAGAAAATTAGTAAAAAATAAAATACACACAGAAAAATGCACTGTCTGAAAAAATAAAACAGGTGTTTAGAGAACTACAAGAAATGTCACAGCCACCCTTTCCTTCAATAAGCAATAAAACACTCTTCCCACCATTCCTTTTCTTCTCACTGCTAACTGATAAAGATGATTCCCCCTCAACATAACACACATAGTCATTTGATACCCAAAAATAGCCACCTTAGTTTAGGATACGGGAAAATGGTTAGCATTTTTAACTTATCTTTATCGTATTTATGGCCCTGGGCTCTTTTGTCCTCTTTTTTAAAATGTCAAATATCAACAGACCCCTACCTATTCATAAATTGTCTCAAACAGGCAATTATCTAGAATTTCTAGGGGGGATTTCAGTAGGGGGAGATTCTTGTA